TGGGCACTCCATCACTGGAAATTTTTAAGAAGAGACTAGACAACCACCTGTCTGAGATAGTATAGATTCTCCTGCTTGAGCAGAGGGCTGGACTAGAAGACCTCCAAGGTCCCTTCCAGCTCTATTCTATACTAAGTTCAGGATCAAACTCCACTATAGACAGAGTTAGTCTGCAATACTGCATTCTAACCACTGTGTCACCACAGCTCTGCACTGTGACTTAGGAAGGAAACTGTATCTTCCTGATACAGGTGAATTTGGTGATGGTTATCTACACCTTGATTGAATCCAGGGTTATCTATTGTAATGTACTCTATATAGGGCTATCCTTGAAAAATTACCTCTAAAGCTGAAGTCAGGAAAGCAAAGGCTCAGCATGAACAAAGACTTGCAACAAAAATAAAAGATAATTTAAAGTTTCTTTCAACGTATAAATAACAAGAAAAAAGTCAAGGAAACAGTCAGTCTACTAAAGAGAGAAGGTGGCAAGAATGTAACAGGCAGCAGAGAGAAAGCAGAACTGTTTAACTCATTCTTTGCATCAGTCTTCATGCAAAAAGAAACTATAGCCCAACCTACCAAAAACATAATCATAAAAGACAGACTAGAAATAAAAATTAAAATAAACAAGAAAATGATAAGAGAACACTTCTCTGATCTAAACAAGTTCAAATCACTGGGATTACATCTCAGAATTCTGAAGGAACTGGCACATGTTATTTCAGAACCATTGAACCATATCTTTCAAAGATCCTGGAACACCGGGGAACTATCTGAGAACTGGAAAAGAGCTGATTTGGTTCCCATCTTCAAAAAAGGGGGAAAAAGCAGACCCAGGAAACTACAGATCAATCAGCATAATATCAACACCTGGGTAGATACTGGAAAAAATAATCAAATAATCAAAAAGCACAGCACAGCATAGCACAGGTTTGTTAAAAATAGATCATGCCAAACCAATCTTATTTCATTATTTGACAAAGTGACTAAATTAGTAGACCAGCAAAATGCTGTGGGTGTAGCATACTTTGATTTCAGTAAGCCATTCAACAAAGTAGACCATAACCTACTTCTTGAGAAGCTAGAAAAATGTGGGATAGACAGCATCACCACTTTGTAACTGGCTAACAAACCGTACTCAACTAATAGTTCCTAATGGTACTACATCTATATGGAAGGAAAGAAGCAGTTGGATACTATAAGATTCCATTTTAGGCCCAGTACTTTTCAATATCTTCATAAATGATTTAGTTGAGGGAATAGAAGGGGAACTCATCAGATTTGCAGATGACACTAAACTAGCAGGAATAGCCAACCCCCAGAAGAAAAGCTCAGGATCCAAAAAAATCTTGACAGACTTGAACAATGGGCCTTATCCAACAAAATGAAATTTAATATAGAAAAATGTAAGGTTTTATGCTTAGGCACGAAAAATCAAAAATACAAGTATAGATTAGGTGAAACCTGGCTCAAAAACAGTAACTGTGAGAGGGACCTTGGGAGTCCTAGTGGACGATCACTTAAATATGAGCTAGCAGTGTGCGGCAGTAGCCAAAAGAGCTAATACAATCCTTAGTTGTATAAACAGAGGCAAAGAATCAAAATCACATGAAATATAGTACTGCTATATAAAAACTTAGTAAAAACACACCTGGAATACTGCATCCAGTTTTGGTCACCACATTCCAAAAAAGATGTTGAGATTTTGAAAAAAGCACAGAGAAGAGCAGCTAGGATGATTAAAGGCCTGGAGACTAAAACATATGAAGAATGGTTGCAGAAACTGGGTATGACTAGTCTAGAGAAAAGAAGGAGTAGGTGACATCATATTAGTATTCCAGTATTTGAGGGGCTGCCACAAAGAAGAGGGGGGGTCAACTTATTTTCCAAAGCACCAGAAAGCAAGACAAGAAACAATGGATGGAAACTAATCAAGTAGAGAAGGAACCTGGAATTAAGGACAAACTTTTTAACGGTGAAAACAATTAATCAGTGGAACAGTTTGCCTTCAGAAATTGTGGATGCTTTATCACTGGAAGTTTTTAAGAAGAGACTGGACAGCCACCTGTTGGAAATGGTATAGGGTCTCCTGCTTGAGCAGGGGGTTGCACTAGAAGATCTCCAAAGTCCCTTCCAGCTCAATTTTGATTGATTGATTGATTGATTGATTGATTAGCTCTAAAAAAAACTGGGGCTGACTTTCTAAGGGTCCATCTTTTCCATTATGAACCAGCTACAACATCTGCAGAAAACTCCTTTTTCAGAAGCCCATCTTTCTAGTGTAGAAGGGGGCTCTGTACTAGGACATCTGAATCCCTTTCACAGTTACTATTGTTGAGCCAGGTACCATCTATTCTAAACCTGTGTATTTGGTTTTTCTTGCCTATGTGTAGGACCTTACTTTTCTCACCACTGAATTGTATTTTGTTGGATAGGGCCCAGTGTTCAAGCCTATCGAGGTCCTTCTGAATCTTAAGTCTATCTTCTATTCGCCACAACTTGGCATTGTCTGCAAATTTGAAGAGTTCCCCTTCCAATCCCCTAATCTAGATCATTTATGAAAATGTTGAAGAGTACTGGGTAAGACACAGCTTTCAGGTATCCCACTGCATGCTTTCCTCCATGTAGATGTAGTTCCATTGAGGAATCAGTGGGTGCTGAATGAGGTTGATCAGCCAGTTGCTAAACCTTTTTGTGGTGGTTTTGTCTATCTCACATTGTTCTATCTTACCAAGAAGTAATCAAATGCCTTACTAAACTTTAGATAAACTAGGATTACCTAGTTAACCTAGATTTTATTTCAAATTTGTAATCCTAGGTAATTAGAAATTTAGGCAAGCCAGGATTAAACAATGGTAGGCAAATAGACTCAATTCAGCTGCTTGTAATCTAAGCAAACTAATATCATAAGGAAGATTACAAGATTCTTACTTAGAAGTCTAAGCATTAGACCTTGCCCAGAGTAAAAGAAATTAAAAGATCAAATGGCATTAGCTGGGTTTCATTACTCCAAACTCAACATAATCAAGTCCTTAAATGGGGAAAAGTAAAGAAACATTAAACATAGTGCTAGAGTAAGCTTGTGTTTTGTATTTCTGTTGTGATGTACAGGAAGAAAAAGATTACAACTGGATGAACATAGTTTCATAAAATAATTTTTTGGACTGTTGGGCTAAGCAACCTACCATGCATAGATAAAGGTGAGCTGTAGCAAATAGTACCTTGTTAATATATGTACATCAGCTGTTTTTTTGCATTTCCAATGCATGTTGTCACAGGCTCTCCAGGATCTGAAGGATCTGAAGGAGAAATGTATATCAAGTACCCCTGGATGACTCTGACTTTCACTGGTTGAATGCACAGACTAAGTGCCTCCATACAATCATTCAAGAAATCTTCTTTCCTGATGACTGTGTGTTCTTAGCACACAAAGACAGTGATCTACAGTTGATGCTGAACAAATTCTTAGATGCTACTATATTCTTCAGCCAATTATCTTAAACACTAAAATATTTTTACCAACCCATGTCAAATATCAAGCCCATAAAACCAAAAATCACTGTTGATGATACCCAGATGACAAATATAAACAGCTTCAAATATTTGAGAAGCATAATCTTGAGTGATGACTCTTTGAACAAAGAAATTGACTCCAAGATCAGCAAGGCCAATTAAGCACTAGGACAACTGCAACTAAAGTGTTTAATCAACACAACATCTGTATCTCCACAAAGCTGAAAGTTTACAGCGATCTGATTATCCCTTTCCTCCTATATGGATATGAGTCCTGAACTCTGTAAGAAAGGCACATCAACGATCTGGAGAAATTCACATGTGTGCTTTCTGTTCTATCCTTGGGATTTGTTGATAAGAGCTTGTCATTAACCTGAAGGTTGTGGATCATGCAGAGTCCACCATCAGCCGCTGATTATCAGAGTGCAGATTAGATGAGCGGAACATGTCATCAGAATGGATGACTGCTGTTTACCTCACCAGTTGCTATATAGTGTACTGGAAGCTAGCAAGAGACTTCAAGGTCAACTACACAAGTGCTACAAAGATACTATGAAAGAAATCTTATGTCATTGTGACATCCAGCCAATGAAACTAGAACAGGGATGGGCATCTATGACAACTTTACGACTTGTGCACTTAAACTGCCAGGATTCCTGAGCCAGTCATTTACCCTTTCAGACTAGTGAGAAAATGTCAATACTTTTAAAATTTTAATGTTGAACAAAATGCATTAAAAGCATATTAGACAAAAAGGCAGAAATTAGTCTAAAACCCAGAGGAAAGGGCAATGCAATTATTTTTACTCACTGTATTTCCTGGGTATCCATTCCTTATTCTATCACCTTTTTGCACTATAGGGAGTCAGTACATTCCCCCCCCCCCCACACAGAGAATGAAATATTTTGGGGAATATTAAAAAAAAGGCAGGATAGAATATTTCCCCTGAAGGGGAAATGAAGAGAAAAAAATCTTAGGCAGAAACCTAAGGAGGCCACTCTTTACAGATGCAGGTTTTTTTCATCCATTCAGGAAGACTGGGGGCAGGAAGGCTGGAGCTGAGTGGATTAGAAAAACAAAGACTCCTAAAATCTACATTCCCCACCCAGCTTCAAGGATAGGACATGACCTCCAAGCCACAATGGGAGTCAGGCAACAATAATTAGAATACCAAAAGGGCACAAGTCAAAGTACGTTGCACAGGAACAGGCACCTCAAATACAAAGCCCCAAAGAAGGTATAAACCCACTCTCAACTCCATTTTGTCAGCCACCCCAGAAACATGCTGCTGTCACTGAAGTTTCTGGCAACTAAATAAAGAGACTTCCTTTCCAACATGCGGCCTGCCTTCAGCTCATTTCTACAGCATCCCCCCAGCTTGGAACAGAACCTGATTTTTTCTTCTGACAGCAGCTTGTCCTGATTTTAATGGAGTCCCCTTATCTCCACGCGCATTATTTCCCGGAGTCTGTCACCCACCCTTCCCGAAGGATATTCCTATCCTTCATTAGGGCATATCGCAGCTGTCGCCCCCTCCCCATCGTTGGCGTCATCCGAAGTTGCGATTGCCATCCTCTCCACCTGCGCGCGCTCCCGCCACTTCCTTTCCTCCACTCCAAATCTCCAAACCTAGCAGCCCCTCCTGCGCAAGCTGTGGCGGTGACGGCAGCTACCAATCTCGCCCCGCTCGTTTCCGCCGCCTCCCGTATTTGCGTGAACGTGGAGTCAAGAGGCATTGCCAGGCGTCCTCTCGAAAAGCCGGCGTGCTCTGGGGCGGGACGGGGGAGAAGCGATTCTTTCCACAGAGCTCGTTTATCTGTGCTAGGAGGGGTCTGGACGATTCCCCCTCTTCTCCATTTCATCTGGAAGCGTCTCAAGCGCGTCGCAGCAGAGGCAGGGAATTCACTCAGCCCCGAAAAATCGAGGTAAGGGTCCGATTATACCATAATCCGATGATGTGCTGTGCTCTTCTCCTTCACGCCCGCAGAGAGGATCTGATGAAATTCCAAGATGTGGGGACTCGGAATTCCTCCCGCCCCTCGATGCCGGCTCAATGCTCTGGGGAATCCTGAGCAGTGCCTCCTGGGGGGCAATCCAGTTAATCGTCTCTTTCCACCCGCTGCACCAAGGAAGGTTTCTACAGCTTACAATGCTGATGGGGAGAAGATGATTGAGCCCAATGGCACTGCCTTCCCACTCGCTCTGGCCTCCACCTCTACTTGCCAATTTTCGCTGGACAGCTGAGCAGACTGGGCCTGCCAGGTCCAATCCCAGCACTCAGAGGGTGAGACAGATGTACAAGCAGGCCAGCTTAGCTTCTCAGTCAAGAAACATCTGGTTTATCTTCTCATTAGCTCACCTGAACTGAAGGATGCAGAACAATCTCCCCCCCCCTCCCACCCACCCCTTTCCCTACCAGAAGAGGGAGAGGAGCAGCAGTAACATTCCTTCCCTCCATCAAGGCCCACAGAGCCCACACCATTGAATGAATTAGTGGTTAGTTCTCATAAGAACAGCTGACCACCTCTATCTGCTAGATTGCATTGTTTCCCTTGGTCCACTGCACCATTAGACCCACTGAACCTAAACGTCACTGCTTTGTTGGGGAGGAGGTGGGGAGGGCAGAAGGGAGACCTACAGGGGGAGGTACCTGCAGGTTTTCTGCATTCCATTCTTAGCAGTGCAAATGGGATCCATTTGCCATTATGCCTCTGAAAAGGGAGCTAGAGCAAGAGGCTGATCCTGAAGGGACAGTTGGTGCCTTCTGCATTTCACTAGATACCAGGAAGGCATACTTTTTCCTTTCTAATTGTTGAAAGTCTCTTGACCATCTAAAATTATTCCAGTTACTGACTGAACACTACTCTGAAGGAATAGATAAGTAGAAAATAGTTGTTGCCCTTTCTCTTAACTGTGCTTTTGCTTTTTGAGCAGCATAACATGCTTTCTTACTCTTTGTACATTTTAAATTAAAGATGCAGGCAACTAATCTGAGACAGTGTCAGCACCTATTGTTTGCAATCACTACTTACTCATGTGCATGTGTGGACATATAAGCAATAGCTCTTTTGTGCTGCTTGATCTTGGGGAAGGGAGAAGAACTGAAGAAGAGGTGTTACTGTTACTGTGTAGGGCACACGGAAATATTTTCACTTCCACATGTGTGTGCGCGCGCACACACACACATGATGCATTGTCTCTCAGGAACAGTTCAGCAGATGGATGAGACTTCTAAGAAAATACAAGTTCAACAGCTAATGATATGGATTCTCTTTTTGCCCTTCTGCAGAAATAGTCCAGATTTAGATGTGAGAGGAGATAGCAGTGAAATGCTTTTAGTATCAAGATCACATGAAGTATTATAAAACCCTAGTAAGACCATACCTGGAATACTGCAGCCAATTTTGGTCACCATATCACAAAAAAGATGTTGAGAGTTTGGAAAAAAATCAGAGAAGAGCAACTAAGATTGATCAAAGGCCTGGAGACTAAAACCAGTGGTGGGATTCAGCCGGTTCACACCACTTTGGCAGAACCGGTAGCTAATTTTTTGTTGCCCAGGCCCAGAATGGACTTCCAGAAGTGGCATCCACACAGGGAACCGATTGTTCACATATCTGAATCCCACCACTGACTAAAACATATGAAGAACGGCTGCAGGACTTGGGTCTGGCTAGTCTAAAGAAAATAAGCAATAGGGGAGACATGATAGCAGTATTCCAGTACTTGAGGGGCTGCCACAAAGAAGGCGGGATCATGTTATTCACCAAAGCACCATAGGGCAGGACAGGAAACAATGGTTGGAAACTGAACAAAGAGAGAAGCAACCTAGAATTAAGGAGAAACTTCCTGACGGTGAGGACAATTAACCAGTGGAACAGCTTGCCTCCAGAAATCGTGGGCACTCCATCACTGGAGTTTTTTAAGAAGAGGCTAGACAGTCACTTGTCTGAGATGGTATAGGTTCTCCTGCTTGAGCAGGGGCCTGGACTAGAAGACCTCCAAGGTCCCTTCCAGATTCTATTCTATTCTATTCTATTCTATTCTATTCTATTCTATTCTATTCTATTCTATTCTATTCTATTTCTCCTTTTCTCCGAGACCACTTACCAATGTTAAGGAAGGCCTTCCATGGGAAAGGTGGGTCAATACTGATTTCTTGCATAATAGTTGGACTCTTGTTTCATATTTAAGGCTACTTTATTCCTGAAGACAGGTATAATTTGGCAATTACATGAAACGGAAGTGAACAAAATATTCTGGGGCCCTTGCCAAACATCTAAGAAATATGTACAAATCTACAAGAGGAAAACAATACATGCAGTGAAGGTCCTTGTATAAACAGTCAATCCATATTTCATTATTGTTATTACTAATTTTTTGTTTATAGAAATAAAATTCTGTAGGAGACATATGTGTAAAACAAAATACAATCAACCAAATCAGACCCATCATTAATGTCCCAAACTGCCTTAAATAATAGCATAACAAGAAAATGAAATATATATGTGATTTTATAAAGAGTCGTATCAACCAAAATCTTTAAAACTTTGCCAATTGTAGAAATAAAAAAATGAGTCCAAGAGGAAAAGTAAATCTGGGTGTAAGGACCCACCCCACTTTGCATCTTAAGAAGATAGAACTCTTGGAATAATTCTTCCAACAGGCATCCTTTATTAAGAGAAAATGGTTGCAGGCATTCTAGACAGGACTTGGAGTCCAAGCTCTCCCATTCAAGGTTTTAAGGGGTTCCCCAGTAGCCCCACCCAATCACCCCCTTCTTCCAGCGACAGTCTCAGGCATTACGCTCCCACCCCCTTTTCCTTACTGCCGGCTGGATGGAGACTTCAGAGAGAACTACATGAAAGGTAATAGCCCCATTCTTATGGTTATTCCTTTTGGCAATATCCACATTCAGTCTCTTTGAAGTGTACTGAAGGAAGTGAGGGCCATAAAGCCCATTTGTTCACCCCCTTCCCTTCACCGTATGGCAGAATCCAAAGAAGGCATAGATAACTATAGTTATCTATAGTTGATAACTAGAGATGAAATATAATTGGATTCTGACATCCTGCCCCCTTAAAAAAAAGACAGATCCACCTGAAGGAAAACAAAACAGGTATAAAAGTTAGTCAGGCTTGTTAGGGTACTCTGTGTGAAACCTCTTTAATAGCTTCGGGGCTCTGACATGACGTTTATGGACCCACTTGTTTTGTGAGGCAGGGAGGTGTTTCCAGGCAACTAGGTACTGAGTCGCTCCATGATATCTCCTAGAATCAAGGATTTCCTTTATTTCAAAATGTTGTTTGCCCTCCACCATGATTGGAGGTGGTGGTGGGGGGATTTTTGGCCATAAAGGTGACTGATGCTCTTTTCAGCAAGCTGCAATGAAAAATTGGGTGTATTTGCCTGAGATTTTTTGGTAATTCTAATTCTACTGTTACTGGGTTTTTGATTCTTTTAATTGGAAAAGGCCCTATATATTTTGGTCCAAGTTTTTTACAGGGCTGTAGGGACTTTAGGTATTTTGTAGATAAGTACACCATTTCTCCTATAATGAAGGATGTAGGCTCAACCCTTTTTTTAATCGGCTTGTGCTTTGTATGCTTGCCTAGCTTCATCTAGTGCTTTTCTGACTATTGGCCAGGTGTTTTGTAATTGTTCCATCCATTCTTTCAGTGATGGAATCGCCGATTCCTGTGGGGTTAATTCTGGCATGGGGTTGAAACTTTGACCAGTGGCTATTTGAAAAGGAGTGTAACCTGTGCTGGAGTGGACTGCATTATTGTAAGCAACTTCTGCGAAAGGGAGTAGGTCCGTCCAATTTGTTTGCTGAAAATTAATAAAACATCTTAAATATTGCTCAAGTACTGAATGACAACATTCTGTTTGTCCATCCCCTTGTGGATGATGGCTAGATGTCAGTCCCTGAATGGTCCCTAAGAGGGGTAAAAATTCCTTCCAAAATGCAGACGTAAATTGCACTCCCCTACCAGAGATGATGTGTTGGGGTGCCCCGTGCAATCTGTAAATGTGCTGGACGAAAAGTTTTGCTAAGGCTTTTGCAGTGGGAATCTTTTGGCAAGGGATAAAGTGCACCTGTTTGGAAAACAAGTCCGTGACCGTCCAGACAACAGTATTCCCATTGCTTTCTGGCAATTCCACTATAAAATCCATGCCTATTTCCCTCCAGGGGGCTGAGAGATTTGCCACTGTTTGTAATAGTCCTGGCGATTTCCCTTGCAACCTCTTTGCAGTAGCACATTTTGGGTAGCTGGCTACATAACTTTCTATGTCCTTTTTTATTGATGGCCACCAAAATTGCCGTTTAATTAAGTGTAAAGTTTTTACAAATCCAAAATACCCTGCTGATTTTGTATCATGGCAAAGCTGCATGAAAGTGACTCTTTGGGTTGTTGGTATATATAACTTTTCCCCTACCCAAGGAAACCCGTCTCTCATTGTGCACACATTTTTGTTTTTCTGGAACCATTCATCTGTTTCCAAACTTTTTCTGAATTCAATCCCAGTTTGGCTGTCCAGTTGTGGTTTTAATTTGGCTTGGGTTCTTGTGGTTACTGGTGCTGCCAGTTGTGACTCTGCCATTATTGGTCTAGAGTCTGTGGTTCATGTGCTGTTATATTGGGGCATGTGCTGTTATATTGGGGCATGCGAGTTCGATCCTGATTGGCTCAAGGTTGACTCAGCCTTTCATCCTTTCTCCCTGGTAAATGTTTGAGCTTAAATTGGAACTGGTGAAAATGCTGGGACCAGCGGGCTTGTTTGGGATTGAGTTTCCTGGGTGTTTTCAGGGCTTCCAAATTTTTGTGATCAGTCCACACCTGGAAGGGGATTTTGTTGCCTTCCAAGAACTGTCGCCATGTGAGTAATGCCCAACGTATCCCGTATGCCTCCTTCTCCCATA